TATATTATATAATACAATAGAATAGCAATAAATCCTATATACAAATTATAATACTGTAATACAATAATATAAATTTTCAATTTATCCAATCACAAAGTGCAATTGCTTTTTAAATTGTTTCTGGATTTAGCGATCCATGCTTTTTAGTATCCATGTTTGAACCTTTTGAGAATAGTCTTTCAGATGGTGTATTAGTTACAGGTATAGCAAGATAATCACATGCTACAAGTGCTAATTTTGGAAACTCTGTAGCATGCATGTTCTACCATTAATATACATCTATATTAGGGTTGACCACAGGACTATTTAAATATAAATTAATTTCATCTGTATTTATAGAATGACGAAGCTTTCTGAAAACTCGATTAAGATAACTGCTGCTAGTATTAGAAGTATTGCTACTTTCTGGTACTGTGTAGTCATAATTATATTTACTATATACTTCATTTAAGCATTCAATTGCCTAATCAATCTACTCACTGTCCTAATCACTTACTTCGTAATATGCTTTTTTAAATCTTGGATCTAATAAAGTTGTCACCGCATAGATAGGGCTATCACTTTTGTATAATAAACTCTTAATTTCTCAAGTACTGCTTCAATAGCTTTATTAATTACTGGTGACAACCCTTTTTCTAGCATTTCTTCAAGATCATCCATAATTAAATTAAATACTGGAATGGCGAGAGACATAGTTACATATAATTCACCGCATAATGTCTTAGATATATCATGAAAAGTTTTTAAAGGTAATGAAATTTCTTTTAACATATCCCATTCTTATGGCAGAATACTAAATGCGTTTAGCTCAAGAACTTCACTAACCATTTTATTAATTGCTGGAGCTATAGTAATAGCTCGTTTAATCATATCAAAAGTTGAGTTCCACCATGTTTTTGAGTCAAGAACTGGACTCTTATATTGTATTCTGAGAGATTTACATAGTTCACTTAACTTTTGATGATGTTGGGATAAATGCTGAAGCTTTGCAATAAGCTTACAAAGTTTTTTAATTGTTGGGATATGAGAAGTATTAGAGGTGTTTGCTTGGTCCAAAATATTAAGATCTTCATTTTTTTGGTCTGATGCTTCGGAGCATAGATGAGATAAAAAATCTTGCAAAGCAAGATTAATAATATGAGCAAGGCACCATACATAACCTTGCTGCTTAGTGAAAGAACCACCAATATTCGTAGAATATGATTTAAATGCTTCAATAAATGTATTGTTATTAGAAGTATTGTCAAGTATTTTGCTAGTAATACCGAAGTCTTCACAAATACTCATTAAAGAATTTGCTATATTTATCCCAGAATGCGATTCTTCGAATGGTGCAAGATCAAGTACATGATATTGAATTTCCCAGTTATTATCAAGCCAGTATACTGTAATGTCTAAAAAAGCCTTACAGCTCTTACTAGTCCAGATGTCTGTAGTAAGTGAAATTTTACTCGAGTTATTTCCTAGTATATCCTTTAACAAAGCTTTTGATATTAAGTATCGTGCTAATAGATCTCTTTTCACCGTTCTTGCAGATGAAACTGTAACGTCACCTTCTAACTTTCTAATTACTTCAAATAATTTATAAAAGCTTTCTGATTCTACAGTAACAAATGGAAGGCTATTCTTTACAATTCACTCAACCAATGTTTCTCTAAAATATACACACAAGACTGAGGAACTACAACAGCCGACACTTCAGAACTAGCCATGTCCGAAATATTCATTTTGTGAATGTTGATAATATGGCTATGCAGATTGGAAGTACCACTATTATTTACACTAAGATATTTTGTTCCTGGACATAGTTAACATTTTGCTTTTTTTTATCTGTTTCTTCATCATTAATAGGAGAGTCAAAAAAAATAGCCATACTGAAGCTGGTATACGCATACTAGTAGTAGATGTCATTTTTTGAAATTAGAATAGACAAATTAGTAGTTTATTATTTTGAACTATCTTGTAATACTAAATTATTTTATTTTGTTAAACAAATGATCCTATTTATTAATACTGAGAGTTTGCACAATCAAACAAGCACATAAAGATTATATAGCAAGCATAATGATTACACATAAAGATTATATAGCAAGCATAATGATCACGCATAAAAATTATATAGCAAGCATAATGATTTTGCATAAATATTAAATAGTGATCAAGTAAGCATAACGATCACACATAAAGATTAAATAGTGATCGAGCAAGTATAATGATTATGCATAAAAATTAATAGCGATAAAGCATAATGATCACGCATGAATTTATATATTGATTATTTTCAATCCAAAATTTTACTGTATAGATTTCTATTAAATACTAATAAAAAAAATAT